TGGGCGCGGGGGCGGAGGGTCTGCGGGGCGCTGTGATCTCTGGCCAGGGGTGCTGGGGCAGTGTGGACGGGGCTCTTCTGGTGTGGGAAGCCGGGGGGTGCGTTCCCATCCCAGAGCAACAAGAGGCCTCTTCTTGGTGGGGGGAGGAAGCCACGGGCAGGTCCCTGGCAGGTGCAGATTTTGCATCAAACGCACCTGCCCTGCATCTCCCTGTGGTGTCCTGCCCCTCTCCGCAGCAAGGCAGGGCTCCCCTGGGGACCCCAGACCCTCTGGTGCCGGCACTGGAAGCAGGAAGGTGAATTATACCTGCCTGGAAAGCCCTGGACAGGAAAGCAGGCCACGGAGAGGAGTCATCCATGTAGCACCCAGACCGTGCCTGCGGGGAGCTCCCGGAGCTGGACCCCGGCCGTGCTGCACCGTAGCATGGAGCTAACCTTGGACCCACCGGCCTCTGGGCAGCAGGACACGAGATGCTGCATTGGGCAAAAGGGGGCTGGGGTGGGAGTGGTGGGGAGAGAGAAACAGCCTGCATCTCTCGCAGGCCGGGCACCAGCAGCGCAGGGACTGCAGCTGTGGTTGATCTGCCGTAGCCAGCACAGCCCCACGCTGAGAGACCGTGACTAAAGTCCCTGAAGCACCTTGAGATCCAAGGTGCCGACATGCTTGCAAGCCCGATGGGCAGAAGCATCACTTGACTGCAATGCACGAGCTCTGCCCTGGGCCATAGCCGCTGTTTCTCCATGCAAAACAGCACGAGTCTTCTCTCCGTGCTGAAATGCAGCTGCCTCTGGGGTGGAGCACGGCAGCTGCTAACAGTGCCCAAGAGCCCTTCCCCGGCTGTTTTGGGCAAGGCATCAAAAATATCAAACTGAATCAAATCTTCAGGGGAGAAGGAGGTCCCAGAGCCTCCGTGCGCCACATCAGGGCAATGCCAACAAAGGGTGGTTTGTTTGCTAGTGCTCAAACCACCCTTTGGAGCTGGATGTCTCTGGGCTGGTCCTATGGGGCCGTGGTAACAGGTTGAAGCGATTGGTAAGGGTTGCACAGTTAGAAAGGGCCAAGAGGGTGCTGCCTGCATCCTCCACACCCCCAGAGCAGCCTTACCCCTGCGGTCTCTTCACCAGGGCTATGTCTGGTCTGGTTTCAGTCCCTTTCCTTGTCATGGGTCTTCCCTCTGCAGAAGGGATGCTGCCAGGGGTTTCCCTCCATTGCTTCCTCTTCCAGGCACCCTGGTAAACCAAAGCAATGGGGGAGATGGGGCAGGCCAGGCCATGCAGGGGTTACCAAGTCTGTTCCCCTGCTCCGTGCCAACTTAGATAGGCATCTGGCTCAGCTATTCCTCCTTAACTCTTCCCTCCATAGGTGTTAACGACCCGCTGTCCTTTTTAATGGCCTTGATGTTCCACTAATCAACCTAGCTGCAATCCTCCTGGTAATGAAGCTCCTGTTTCACAGCCCTGCAGCCTTGCTAAAAAACATTCACTCCGGCGTGGAAATTTTAATTCAGGTGAACATTAATTCACTCAGGTGTGCGAATAACTAACTCAGCGAAGCGTTGGATGCAGTGTCAAGAGACTCACAAAATCTGGAGGGGAAAAAAAGAGATTTACCTTTAATTCTAAAGCTTGCAGAGTTAATGTGTTGGGTTTTTTTATGCATCATCTTTATCACCTTTTGTGCATAATTGGTGATAGAGTAAATGAATGCACATCCCCCATAATCTAATACAGCCCAGGCCCCTAGCTAGTTTCTTTGTAATGGGAGTAAAATAGGTGTCAGCTGGAATAAGGCACCACACCAAGTGCACCCCCTTTTCACAATCCTAGATCCGCCCAGGTCCTGAATTAAACCATCCCAGCCAAAAAAAAAGGTTTCCCCAGGATCTCAATGGCATCGCTTCTGCTCATTCGTCTGCTGGGTGCAGAGGATGACCGACCGCTGTCCTCTTTCTAACAACCTTCTCCTAATTATCATTTGCCTTCCCCTGTCGCAAGGTGCAGAGCCATCGGCCGCGCCGCTCTCGAGGGGACTGCCAGCCCTCATCCCCCTGCTCGGCCAGGGGCAGGGCAGGTGTGCTGGGTGTTTTAGGCCGTTGTGCCTGGCAGTTGTAGCAGGCAGAATTGTTCTCCTGATTTTGAAAATCAGTTGAGACCTCGAGTGTTAGGTCTGTGTTGTGTCAGGGTCGGTGGTGGACTTATATAGAGTTTCGATGATATCTGGGCTAGTTCGGACAGGGCTGATCCGGCCGTAGGCAGGGGGTTGGACTAGATGTGACCTCTGCAGGTCCCTGCCAGCCCCATTTCTCTAGGATTCGATGATTAGCAGCCGGATGCTAATCAGTGTTGCATTATGTTTTTATGGGCTGTTTAGCAGCTGCTGGGGTCTTTCCTCGGGGGGCCTCACACCCTTGCGGGGTGATGTCCCTGCCGGCTCTGGCCAGCAGAAGGGAAGAGAAGTCAAAAGAAACCTTTGCACCGTCTGTTTCTTTTTTAAAAATCTCCACTGTGGGGAGGAAAAATGAAGATGTTTCAAGGGGGGGGAATGGACATTTCAAATGAACCTACCGTGGTTTGAACAAAATGTCACTTTTTTGTAAGAGGAAAGGGTCCAGCGGGGCGCGGGGTGTGGGGGGAGAAACCAGCCAGCAAGTGTTTGCCCTCGGTAAATATTGTGTGAAGCTCCATGAGCTCATGGAGGGTGGAAGGTGCTGCAGCAAGGTGAGGTCATTTTTGGGAATCAGCGGGCGGCCGAGGAAGGCGGCCCGGGCCGGAGCGCGGGGCCAGGCAGGAAGAGGAGCCGGGAGTGGTCTGCATGGTGCAGCCCAGCCCACCACCCTGATGGAGGCCATGCAGGGAGCCCGTAGAGAGGGTCCCATGTCCTGCGAACACGCATCCCGGCGTGTATTGCAGCATCCCCGCCCGCTCCGCGCTCAGCTGTTTCTCATCAGCAGCGCCGGCTCCATCTGACACAGCTGAGGTGACCCCCGGGAGCAATCTTCTTCCCAGAGCCTCCAAGTGCAAGGGCAAGAATTTCCTGCCCGGTTTTTTCATTAGCGCTGCGTGCATGCCTCTGTGTGCGTGTGTGAGTGTGTGCATGCAGGCGGGTGTTAGTTGTTATTGCACATAGAAAATCGGGGGTTGTGTCAGTGCCCAGCTTGTTGCAACCAGGTAGATGGGCCCAGGGTTTGCAGCGGGAGCGTGGGGGTCTCTTCTCTCTCTTCTGACTCCCCAGCGGTGACCTGGATGAAGCGGCCAGGGTGAAGCAGGCCGGGTTCTCGTAGCGGATGCTGCAATCCGATCCGTGCACATGCCTTGCACCAGAGAGGGGCACAGCTGACATCTGTGCCCAGGCTCCGTGAGATGCACCCCAGGGGCCACGGCATCGGCTCAGTGGCCACCCAGCACCACCCGAGAGTTACTGTCCCCTGCCCATCCAGGTCACTCCTGTCCGGTCACTCTCAGGCCCCTGCCAGGAGCTAAGAACTGTTGCTTCAGAGGAAACACCCCCCCCTGGAAGGTGGAAACACCCCCCCCCCCCCACACACACACACACACATGCATGTGGCACAGCCTGATGCGCATGTGGCACGTGGCCTCCTGTCCTCCCCATGTGGCCGGCTCTTAGCTGTGCTGATACATCCACCCGCTCACCCCACGTGTGTCCAAGCTGGGTCTCTACAGCCGCTGGCAGCGACAGCACCCTCCTGGCGACCAGGGCTACAAACCATGTAGCTTCTGTGGTGTATGTGGACTCACAGCCATGGTTAGAGCCACCCTTGGCTACGAACGATGGTGCCAACGTGGTCTCGAGCCACCCTGGACGGTTGAATGTCTTCTCCCATGCAAAGCGGCTTCAAAAAAGCAGACGCCCCCAGGACAAATCTCTCTGGATTCAGCAGGGTGTTGCTGTGTCTCCGGGGAGGTGTGGGCTGGGTATCTTCGGTTCCCCTGCTCCGCTGTGGGCCAGGCTGCTTGGCTGGGCTACCCCTGGGCAGATGCTGCAATGAAAGACCTCAGTCCCGTTGAAATGTTTGCAGCCATAAAGCCGCACGGCAGACTGCCCTGCACATGAGCTCTCTATGGAGGGTTGCGTTGAGGAGGGGAGCGCGTATCTTGATGTCGGGTCAGGCTGCTGGAAGATCAGTGTAAGGCAGTGGGAATGCAGGTGCTGCCGAGGCGGAAGGATTCACCTCTGTCTTGGGTGACGGAAGCTGCTGCAAAACGCTCCATCAGGCACGGGTTCAAGTGCCACTGGTGCGCAGCCTCTCCATGGATCAAGACCTTGTAGTGGTGCAGAGGCTTTCACTTCCCAGAGGTCCTCAGAGCTACGTCTCCTGCAATCTCATACTCCAGGCAGGGTCACCCATGGCGAATGGGCCCGAGGGGGTTGATCAGGCAGGGAGCAGAAAGCAGAGCAGCAGATTGGGCAGGGAGCAGAAAGCAGAGCAACCGATCAGGCAGAGGAAAGGGATTGGAGTGGCACTCAGGGAAGAACAGGCTAATTTTTGGCATGCCTGCTCTTATTTGGGCCCCCATTTGCACTGTACTGGGGAGAAAAAGCTTCTCCCTCCCGGCTGGGTTTGGCCTGGGTGATATTTTCTGCTGTCCTCTTTCTTATTTGCTGTCCTTTACGTCAAATGCCAGTTCCCTTTGACTCTGGGATGCATCGGCTTCCATTATATCATGCGGGAGCGAGCTCCGCACATTTTTTGGTGAATGTATGTGCATTTGGGCGTGTGTGTGTGCATGCATCTTTGTGTGTGTGTGTGTGTGTGTGTGAAATGCTATAAATAAGGTCCCTGATTTGATCCCCTTGGCCTAGATTGATGCACAGGAAATAGCTGGTGGAGTTATGAGGTCCCGGACATTTCCCCCCCTGGAGCTTTCTGGAGTTATAACCAGCAAGTCTCTGCATCAGAGACCTGCAAGCTCATCGGCCCTGCCGCACGCTGGTGAGCTTAGCCCGTCAGCCTCTAACCTTCCCTTTCGTTCTCTTGCCAGGCGAACGAGGCCAGAAAGGAGAGAAGGGAGACAGAGGCGGTGAGACGGGTAAGTGCTGCTCTTTGTTGTGCTCAGGGCTCTCCCCTGCAGCGTGGGGGATTTCCCTGGGGTTTGCCCATCATCAGTGGGGTGGCTTGCTGGCTGGTCCGTGGCTTGGTGCTTGACTCTCACCCGGACCGAAGCCTCAGATGGGATTGTCCCTTCCCTTTCTTCGCTGGGCCGGGCCTGCAGCCATTATGGACACGCGTGTTGCTGTAGCACAGCCCCTCTCTGGGCTGCAAATTGAGCAGAGCAAACGGTCACATTCATGGGCAAAGGCTGTGCTCTTGCAGTCCCTCCACCGTCCTGCTCTGGGCAGCCCTGGGGCTGGGCACTCAGAAGACCGAGGTCTCTTCTAAGCTCTGCCACTGACATACTGGATGATGTTTGTCAAGTCCCTTTACTGTGCTGTGCCTCAGTTCGTGCACAGGGAAATGTTCCAGCATAAGGCCCCATGAGACCGAGTCATAGAAAATGAGGGTTGAAAGGACCTCAGGAGGTCACATCTAGTCCAACCCCCTGCTCCAAGCAGGACCAGCCCCAACCACATCATCCCAGCCAAGGCTTTGTCTACCCGGGTCTGCAACACCTCCAAGGATGGAGAGTCCACCAGCTTTGCACTAGGGCAGGTGCTTGATAATGATCAGGATAAAGACAGAGGCATTTTGTGGGGGACACGATGACCTGGGCCCATCGGGATCAGGTCAGCGGAGAAGGGCGTTGTGAGCCACATGTAGCGGCAGCACCATGGGCGTCCAGTGCTGGGAAACCTCCCAGGGGATAATGCGATGGCTGCATCTCCCAGCCGCTGAGCAGCTCGCGCCCCTGCATAGCATCACCTTGACTCTGACAGCCAGCACCGAGACACCGAGACCGGGGCCGAGCGCAAGCAGCTGCAAGGCCTTTTGGCAGGAGGCAGCGGGCTCCGTCAGCGCTAATCAGCATCACAATGCCGGTACCTGCAGCTGGCACCGTCTCTCTCTGCCTCCTCCTCTCTGCCTGGAAACGAACGGGATCCAGTTCAAAACAGAATTCACTCGGCCTTGCAAACTCTTTCCTTTTTCTATTGGCAAATGAAGCCGGTCGCCTCCAAATGGGCTGGACGGTTCCAGCGTGATGACCTTGTTCCTTCCTGCAAAACAGCTTGTGTTTGCTGGTAATGATCTCCAGACAGCCCCGTCGGGGCTTTATTTCACTAGGACGGCAGGCTTACCCAGCACCTCTGGGACGGATCCCACACGCCGGGGGCTTTCGGACGTTGATCCTAAGGCAGTGGTGCCCAAGGCCCGAGCCAGCCCGTGGAGCTGTGTGTTTCTGGGTTGGAAATGTGATGGGGGAGCAGTGGCCTGTGCCACTCATAAGCACTACCACAAACTGGATCAGACCCTAGGTCCATCGTGCCCGGTCTCCTGTGTCACACAGAGGCTGGAAGGGAGAGTGCACGGGGTCTGAGCAGGGTTTTCCCCCTTTGGAAACCCCTCCATATCACTCGTCATCCTTGCTGCCCTTCTCTAGTTTTGTGCCTGGGGGCCTCAGTTTCTCATCTGTACAATGGGGATAATAGCACTGCCTCACGTCTGCCCCTTGGATGCAGTCACTGTCTCTTGCAATGTGTACAGGCAGTGCCTGACGCATCGGCGCTGATAGGTGTTACTTGAATAGAGGGGATAGTTTGGAAGTTGGTTATTTGGCATGACGGGATGCAGCAAGAGGAGCTGGGTCTGAAATCTGCCCGGCTCATGCCCTCTTTCGGCAACACCAGTCTCCACCCCAAGAGAGGGGGAGTTGACTCTTGGGGCTTTCCTGTCCCCAGATCCTCGTGGCAGACTACCAGGAACCACCAAGGCCGTGTGTCACCCATGTGTCGAAGGGGCTTGGTCCTCAAATGCTCCGGCCTGTCAGCTCGGAGGCCTGGCTGGTGTGATTTGTGTTGAGTCCCAGGGACGCGTGGTTTCCACATGGATCTGGTTGGTGTGTGGGCTCAGATGGGGTCTGAACAGTGCAGCCAGGGGGCTTCTGCAAAAGGCCAAGGCAGCATCTAGTGATTCAGGCTGAGGTCTGTGAATGGTAGGTCACCAAGAAGTAAGGATGGAGATTCAACCTACTCTTGAAAATTAGGATAACATCAACATGTACAATAATTTTCCTAATACCCAACCTCGACTTCCCTTGCTGCAGCTTGAGCCCATTGCTCCTTGTCCTGTCATCTGCCCCCACTGAGATCAGTCCAGCTCCATCCTCTTTGCAGCCTCCCTGCAGGGAGGTGAAGGCTGCTATCAAATCCCCCTTGTGGGTGGAACAAGCTACAGCCCTTTGCCGAGCAGCTGCATCGGTGCCTGTTACCTGTGCCAGGGTCTTGCCCCTGTGATGAAAGTGGGCAGCAAGGGGGTGGACGGCTGATGGCTGGGTTAGGGAGAGAAGACGCCGTTGCCTCTGGTCCCCTTCACAGACTCCCTGTGTCTAAATGAAAGAGCCCTGAACCCGTGCCCCTGTGTATGCCACCTTCTAGGGCCTGCCCTGTACCGGGACTGAGAGACCTTTTCCTCCTGGCACCCGGGAGAGATGTTCCTTCATCTCACATGGGTGTTTGGAGCTGAAGTCCTTGCATTGCAGCCCCTGTCCGGGCACGGTAGCAAGCCATAACATGATACCGGCCACGCGTCGGCATAGATTCATGGCACCTTGCATCTGGATCCGATGCAGCTGGGAGGAGATGCCTGCGGGCAGGAGACATGGGGAATAAATCTATCCCTTGAGGTTAGCAGCTTCAACCCCCCCACAAAGGACTTCATTAGCAGCTGCCTCTGCTTATGTCAGAAATGAATCCCTGGTGTTGGGGGGTCAGCGTCCATTCATTGATTTCTCTCTTTCTTCCTATTCTCCTTTGGCCTAGTTAGAGCAGAGGAGCTGAGCAGCTACTGCAAGGAGGAGAAAAGCCTCCCATAAATTAAACCGCAGAGGCCTTTGATCTGCTTAGAGGGAGGTCATGTACTAAGGGCTTTATCTTGCCGGCACTTTGCAGCGCCGGCAGTGCCTGGAGTGAACGAACCCTCCTCCTGTGCTGCCGGCTCTGTCTGAACCGTGCGGGTTGTCTTTGCTGTTGCCGTCAGACCCCGTGGAGAATTCGTTCCTGGGGGAGTCCGGGCTCAGGGCTGGTCATACGCATGGCTGGGAGAGGGACGAAGCAAGGGCATGCAGGCCACGTCCCCTTACGCCAAGGGCCAAGAGACTTCCAGACACTCTCAGCTCCCACAGGCTTTTCTCAGATTTTCCAAGCCCAGGATTTTGTGCAAATGGGGCTGAATCCCTCCGTCCTGGGTAGGGGAACAGAAAACATCCAGGCTATAATATTGCTTCTCCCGGGGAAGGAGCCAGCCACGGATCTGCTGCAAAGGCTGGCATAGCAAGAACACTAACCACTGACTCTTGGCTGCCACCTGAGTCTCTCATCCAGGTATTCGGCAGCCCAATACAGCAAAGGCCACTGGAGTAACTGCGAGCAGGGGAATCCTGTCCCGACGCCGCCAGCCGGCACCATTAACGCGCATCTTAAGAGCTGCAGCCCAAAGAGCACCCAGTGCCCTGGGAGCAATAACCAGGGGAGACTTAAGCATGGTCCTGCAAAGCCTTCCTCCATGAAGACAGCCGGGGCAGGGAGGGAGGGCTCCACTTCCTCGCAGGCAGATGGTCTCCATTAGCAGGGCTGCGACGCTAGCAAGCTGCAGCTGCAGAGAATCAGGCCCTTGTTTTCCCAGCCACTCGGGTGTCTTTGCGCGCTGGAGCTCTGCCTCTCTTGGTTTGCGCTTGGTTCTTCGTTCGGGGGCTGGAGGGGAGCCGGGGTTGGGGGGCGGGGGGGTGCTGGCACCGTAAAAACAAACACGGCAAAGAACCGGAGCTCTCCGGGTTTTATTGGGATGATGCAAAGAGGAGGAGGGCGCGCCCCCTGCGCTCAGGCGTTGCGCCAAGCCATGCGGGGGAGCGGTGAGCAGAGCTACGGGTCACATCGCCCGTGGCTTACAGTAGCCCGCAGAGGCCCCAGCTGAGATCAGCGTGCCAGGCGCTGCACAGACTCAGGAGGAGAGTCCGTCCCTGTCCTGAGCCTCTGGGGAAGATAAAGGGAGGCCCTTTGAGCTGGGGAAATGAGGGGCAGAGGACTGAAATGACCGGCCGTGCTAGGAGCTGATTCTCCAGCGCCCGCCAACAGCTGCCCGTTGGATGGCGGCTATCTCCACGCTTCCCCTTCCCAGGCAGCCTATGCCCAGGGAGCCCCAAGGAGACAAGGGCAGAGGTTTTAGAGCAGCTGGCAGGTTTACCACCTCTTCTGCATGGGGTCCGTGCTTCCCCAGCTGTTTGTACAGCCCCTAGCACTTTGCAAGCAGTCGTGGAGATGGCCTGGCAGGGAAGGCACAGGCAGACAGGAGGTCTGGGGCATGTGTGGGCTGGTTTTATAGGGTAGCTCACGTGGACTGGGTTGCACATACTGCTTGGAGGTGATAGGATAGTGTGGCAGGTCTTGGTCGCTGGCTCCAGTTTGGTGAAGGACACACAGGGGACTTTGGGCTGGGTTTTACTGGCCCTATAAGGCTGTGGCTGATCTTGCTACCAGGAGGATGAGGGTTGGGGGTCTGCTTAGCAAGAGTGCTCTCCCCAGCCGTGATGGTCTCTGGCCTCGGGGCAGATGCAGGGTCCTTGCCACTCACCTGTGC